CATGACGTTCACATTACCTGGTCCATGACATGTTCACATTACCTGGTCCATGACGTTCACATTACCTGGTCCATGACGTTCACATTACCTGGTCCATGACATGTTCACATTACCTGGTCCATGACATGTTCACATTACCTGGTCCATGACATGTTCACATTACCTGGTCCATGACATGTTCACATTACCTGGTCCATGACATGTTCACATTACCTGGTCCATGACGTTCACATTACCTGGTCCATGACGTTCACATTACCTGGTCCATGACATGTTCACATTACCTGGTCGATGACATGTTCACATTACCTGGTCCATGACATGTTCACATTACCTGGTCCATGACGTTCACATTACCTGGTCGATGACATGTTCACATTACCTGGTCGATGACATGTTCACATTACCTGGTCCATGACGTTCACATTACCTGGTCGATGACATGTCCACATTACCTGGTCAATGACATTACCTGGTCCATGACATTACCTTGTCCATGACATGTTCACATTACCTGGTCAATGACATTACCTGGTCCATGACATTACCTGGTCCATGACGTTCACATTACCTGGTCCATGACATGTCCACATTACCTGGTCCATGACATGTCCACATTACCTGGTCGATGACATGTTCACATTACCTGGTCCATGACGTTCACATTACCTGGTCCATGACATGTTCACATTACCTGGTCCATGACATGTTCACATTACCTGGTCCATGACATGTCCACATTACCTGGTCCATGACATGTCCACATTACCTGGTCCATGACATGTCCACATTACCTGGTCCATGACATGTCCACATTACCTGGTCCATGACATGTCCACATTACCTGGTCCATGACATGTCCACATTACCTGGTCCATGACATGTTCACATTACCTGGTCGATGACATGTTCACATTACCTGGTCCATGACATGTTCACATCACCTGGTCCATGACATTACCTGGTCCATGACATGTCCACATTACCTGGTCCATGACATGTCCACATTACCTGGTCCATGACATTACCTGGTCCATGACATGTCCACATTACCTGGTCCATGACATGCCCACATTACCTGGTCCATGACATGTTCACATTACCTGGTCCATGACATGTCCACATTACCTGGTCCATGACATTACCTGGTCCATGACAAGTCCACATTACCTGGTCCATGACATTACCTGGTCCATGACATGTTCACATTACCTGGTCCATGACATGTCCACATTACCTGGTCCATGACATGTCCACATTACCTGGTCCATGACATGCCCACATTACCTGGTCCATGACATGTTCACATTACCTGGTCCATGACATGTCCACATTACCTGGTCCATGACATTACCTGGTCTATGACATTACATGGTCCATGACATTACCTGGTCCATGACATGCCCACACTACCTGGTCCATGACATTACCTGGTCCATGACATTACATGGTCCATGACATTACCTGGTCCATGACATTACCTGGTCCATGACATTACCTGGTCCATGACATTACCTGGTCCATGACATGTACTCATTAACTTGTACATGACATTATCTGATCCATGACATAACTTGGTCCATGACATTACCTTGCCCATGACATGTCCACATTACCTTGCCCATGACATGTCCACATTACCTGGTCCATGACATGTCCACATTACCTGGTCCATGACTTGTTCACAATAACTGGTCCATGACATGCCCACATTACCTGGTCCATGACATGTCCACATTACCTGGTCCATGACATTACCTGGTCCATGACATGTTCACATTACCTGGTCCATGACATGTTCACATTACCTGGTCCATGACATGCTCACATCACCTGGTCCATGACATGTTAACATTACCTGGTCCATGACATTACCTGGTCCATGACATGTACTCATTACCTGGTCCATGACATTACCTGGTCCATGACATGTACTCATTACCTGGTCCATGACATTACCTTGTCCATGACATGTTCACATTACATGGTCCATGAGCTTTTTAAATTTTGTGTTATGTGTCACTAGACAAATTCAATCCGCCCAAGTAGCTCTATTTTTATAAGCTTGATAAGGGACGCAACTAAATCAAGCCAGAAATTGTACCTCAAGACTCCACCGCCCTATTTTTCCTGATCAAGCACATTTATTCCTTTGTGTCCTGATTTTTTATGAAACGTAAAAAAAAAGTTTCAGATCGTGTCTTGCTATTTCCATTTTAAAGCCATTAACTTTTCAGTGCCGGGGTTGGAGTGGTGCGATCACTTAAAACGTGTATGTTAACAATTGACCTGCTATGGAAATTTAAGCTAAATATAGAAACGTATGCCTATTTAAGCAGTGAAGTGAAGAGAATTAAATAAAGAAAAAAGTGCATAAAACAATATGTCATAAAATATTTTTGCTGTGAACGACATAGGGGGGGGGGGGGGCAGAGGCGTAGCGACCCTTCCCGGGGGACAAACTTTCGATTTGCACCCCCCCTCGAACTTTTCATTTGCACCCCCCCCCCCCCGTCAAACTTTCGATTTGCACCCCCCCCCCTCGAACTTTTCATTTGCACTCCCCCCCCCCGTCAAACTTTCGATTTGCACCCCCCCTCTAACTTTTCATTTGCACCCCCCCCGTCAAACTTTCAATTTGGCACCCCCCCTAAGCCCTAAGGTCGGCGCCCGGGGACATATGTGTCCCCCCCGACCCCCCCTCGCTACGCCTCTGGGTGGGGTGCATTATTGCTAAACTATAAATTTCGAGCTTGCACTCCAGGGTTGTTTAGTCTCGTTAGTTGGGATATCAATTCATCTAGAGTATAATACTGACGCTTGCCACAACAACCTAGGCCAGGGGTCAACGTCAGCAACCTGCGGCTCGCGAGCCGCACGGGTCTCTTTTGATGTCAAGATGCGGCTCGCCAATTCCATACGCAAATATTAATTGTATTATTTCATTTTCAAAACTCATTAAAAATTGTATTGTAAAGAAAAGCAACTTATACTTTAAACAGGATAAAAACACTCATCTGAGATCATTGAGAATAGGTGAAGTAGAGCGTATACAAAAAGCTGAGAGCCGCTTGGGCACCAGGCTAGCCTCACAGCCGTGGTATAGACAGCCACGTGAAGACTGTTTCATGCTTGCCACAGCCCAAGTGCCGACTTTACTTTTTTGAATATCTTTAAATGAAGAATGTTATTTTATTCAGAAAGCATTCCTCTACCAGTCAGTATGCATTAATTTTACCTGAGTGACGTAGTATTTTAGTTATTAGCTTCCTACGGTTGAGCCGGGTACTGTACAGTGAGTAACGAGTAGGGTGGAAGATAAGCCTGGTGAGTACCGAAGTACAGAATCGACCAATACACGGTAATCAAGCCGGTCTCCAAGCCAGTTGGTCGTAGCTTGCCGTGTTGAGGGCTGTCTGGCTATGGCAGACACCTCTTGAGCAAGTAGTGTCCATAAAGAAAGAAAAAAAAAGTTATTGGCTTCTAATGTGGATTAGGATAGTGATATAGATATATTGTTTGTTTACTAATAATATTTTATCATACCAGAGCTAACAAAAGCACTTTATGTGCGAACATTTATATTTTTATATGAATCAATATTAGTTCATGTTGGTGCGCGGACCTTTTGACTACGTGTGTTTTGACCATAGGGGCTTTGCCAATAGGGGCTTTGACCATAGGGGTTTTGACCATAGGGGCTTTGACCATAACGGGGCTTTGACCATAGGGGTTTTGACCATAGGGGCTTTGACCATAAAGGGGCTTTGACCATATGGGTTTTGACCATAGGGGGATTTGACCACAGGGCCGTTGACCATAGGGGGTTTGACCATAGGGGGTTTGACCACAGGTGTTTTCTCAGTAGAGGGTCTTTGATCACAGGCGGTTTGTCAACTGCTGTTTGATCACAAGCGCTGTGTCCGGCTTTGACCACAGGTGGTTTGTCCAATGCTGGCGTTTGATAACAAGCGCTTTGTCCATATATGGTAAGGATTAATTTCAAATGTTGTGTAATTATATTTTAAATTGCGGAAGGATGTAATAATATGTTAATTCATCTGTCATTTAGTTAACCATACAGGTATTATTTATTTGACTATACTGTTGGCATGTTTTTTTTATCCTTTATATAAGCTTTGTATTTTCAAGTACATCTACATTATTTATTTGTGAAACTTGTTATATGTCGCATTATTTGTGTTTCATTTATATTTAAAATAAATCTATATGGCCTAGCACTAGCCTTTATGTGGAGACTAAAATATCGTTCTTTACTTTTTTTTAGTAAAATTCTATTAATCGACTCTAAAAAATGTATGAAATCGTATTAATTGTATCATAAGTTTAAATAAAAAACAAGTTTATACTTTCTATTTTAATATCTATATATTATTGTTAACCTCTTCTGTGGCCAAAGCCCCGCTGTGGTTAAAGCCCCGCTGTGGTCAAACCCCCTATGGTCAAAGCCCCTATGGTCAAACCCCTATAGTCAAAGTACCTAGGACCGTTCATATTTAATGTTATTTATTTTAAATTTAAAAAATCTAATTTTTAAAAATAATCCTTATAAATAAATATTGAAAAAATATGTTAGTGGCTCTTTAAAAACTGGGAAATTTTGTACATTGTAATTTTTGGTTCTTCCGTCTCAAAAGGTTGCCGACCCTTTACCTAGGCTACACACTGTCATGTTTACATAAAAAAAACGGAGCATTATTTGCGGCTACACGGTTTGTTTAACAACGCGACAAGTATCAAATCCATATAATGAACCTCCTGCTTGCCAAAGACTTAACCAGTTTACATGGGAACAATATGTGGTGCTGTCCATGTTTCTGCGACACCATGCCGGGCTAATCAACGTTTGAGGTGTATCAAATACATTTAATGAACCTCCTGCTTGCCAAAGACTTAACCATCTTACATGGGAACAATATGTTGTGCTGATAAGTTGTGCTGTCCCTGTTTCTGCGACACCATGCCGGGCTAATCAACGTTCGGGATTAATTAAATCCATTATAGGAACCTCCTGCTTGCCAAAGACTTAACCAGTGAACATGGAAACATTTTGTGTTCTCCCATTTTTTGCGGCGCCACGCCGGGCTAATAAACTTTTTGACATGCATCAAACACATATAAAAAACTATTAACTTGCCAAAGACTTAGCAGTCTACATGGGAACATCATAAAACCCTATCAGACAAGGGGCGTTGATGACACAGTCGGAACAAGCAACATCATGGGCGACCATTTTTACCAGCAAGTAGACACGGTAAGCTTTTTTTTTTAAATTAATTCACATCTATTATTTCAAACTTTTTAACGAAACATTTACAAGTTACCGTAAGTATGTGTTAGTAATTGTTAGCAGAAAATTAAAATAAAAGTTACATAATTTTGTTACATGCGCAATATTTCATGATAACCAGCAATATTTGTTGTTATTTTTTTTCTGGTTAAGGTTAAAGCAGATTTAATGTTTCAAAGATTTACTTCGAATACCAATATTAGTAAAAGTGAAAAACGTAAACTATCGTCATTGAAAATTTTGAGTGATCTCCCCTAAACTTTCTTGAACATTCCTATATAATATTATTGGGGATGGCAACTCGGGATATAGACATGATTTTTAATCATTTTTTAATTGCTGTAACTTTTTAAAATAGAATAGAATCTCGTAGAAAAAAAATTGCGCACCACTTGAACGGCAAACAATATGTGTATAATAGTACGGAGTATTATTAGTACTATATAAACTCATACACGTTTTCCGAGAAAGCTGAAATAGCGTAAAGTAGAGGCGTCGCGAGGGGGGGGGGGGATGCGGACCGCACAGGGTGTCACCATTTAGGAGGTGACACTAAGACAAAATAGCAAAATGCATGTAAAAAATAAACGATCATTCAAGTTAAATAAAATATTAATAATTGTTAAAAATCTTTTAATTAAGAGCAAAATTGACAAATCCCAACAAGGTTGGGTGGGGGATGGAGTTACACGATAAGGTAAATCTGCTAACGATACAGAAAACAATACTACATCCAGGTATATTTACAACCGCCTATAGATAAACATCGTTAGTATTAACTGTGGACGGTTTAATCTTATCACCACGGGGAGTGGGGGGGGGGGGGGGGGCGGACACCAACTTAATCTTGCAAAATGTGCCTGAGGAAAAAGGTTTTCTTGAGAAGTTCAGCCCAAAATGCGTAGCTTTAAAAAAAGATTAAATGCATACAAAAATATTTTAAAATATATATACACATGCTTATACTCACACTTACATATTATGTATGCGGCTTATATATATATATATATATATATATATATATATATATATATATATATATATATATATATATATATATATATATATATATATATGTATATGCTCTTAATTAAAAGATTTTAAACTCTAATTAATCTTTATATGCCTATATATAGATTTTTTCGGGGGGAGGGGGGGGGGGGGGTTGATACTATTAGGTGCCGCACCGGGTGACACCCGACATAGCGACGCCATTGGTCAACGGAAATTACTCAAAATTCAAAAGAAGGCAGAGCATTGGACCTTTTACTAATGTATTCGTTTATTTTCGTAAATTTCGTTTATCTATCTGAAACAGTACTCAAGTTATAGGTTTTTGAAAAACCAAAAGTAGAATAAAATACATTTCGGAAATTAGCTGAAAATTGTATACAGAACTACACATGTGATATAATATCATTTATGAAATTTCATCAATTTAGCTTTAACTGTACTCAAGAAACACAGTTTACAGACACACACACACACACACACACAGACACTTAGAGAAGAGTGCAAAATTAAAGTTTTCCGACTCAGGGAGGTCTAAAACGTCGAAATTTTAAAAAATCTTTATTTAGATTTTTTTTGCACGATTACATTTTTTTTTTTTTTTTTTTTTTTTTTTTTTTTTTAATACTTTTATTTGCAATTAAAACAAGTACATCAACATCAAATTTTGTAACGCAATTTTGAACACCAAATGAAAACGAAAGGTTTTGCAAATGTACATTATGAATATTTACATGATGTCATGTATTTGATTATAAAAAAAAATTGCAAAGGATGACAGTAAAAGGGGTGAAGGTCAAATGAAAGTGTCAGAAGTCTGGGTGGGGAAAGGAAAGGAAATTTTTCAGAGAGGGTCAATGGGACAGTGAAGCATTTTCTATGTAGGGAAACAACTTAAGTTGACTAGATGAAAGAGTGTTGTAGTGGTCGCATTGAGTTTTCAAAAGGTTGCAGTGTGAAAGATGAGGGGAAAGAGACAAGATTTAGAACTTTAAATAAGTTCTGGATATTGATGTTGCGGTGGGTGGTGGGGTCGTTAGAACAGTTAAAAAGATTGTGGGGTTATCATGTCTGGGGGTAAAGTGGATAGAGGGGGAGAGAGGAGGGGGTAGATTTTTTTTATTTTTTATTAATTCAATTGTTTTAAACATTTAAATCAGTAATAATAATATATTTGATAGATTTTACATAGCATCAAAGACATGAACAATGAACATCAATTGCATATATAATAATCAAAGGGAAAAAATAAAATGGCATAAGAACTAGATTAAAATAAGGTGTGCAAACTAGGTTTCTCTTCACTGCTTAGTTTAGTGTGCTGCGGAGTCAAAAGTTCACACTGTAGCCACCCATGGACAAAAATAGAAACGACTGAGGGAGAAGGGTCTCTGTAATCACGTACTGATCTATCATTCCAAAACTTTCCATGACATAAAATTGACCTTTGGCAATGAGGGCACGTTACCTTGAAATGTCCGCCAGTCCGGTTGAGTGGGGGGGGGGGGAAGTGTGTGTGTGTGTGTTGGCTCTTGCTTTTTAAGGCTCCTTCCTATGCACTTTTTTCATTTTTATATATCAACTGGCTTTACAAGACCAAAATGTTTTTAGCACAATTATTGTTTTTATATTTAAAATAATCCTAGATCGAGGATGTGCTGTTAAAAGCTAAAAGACACTGATCTTCCTGCGATCTTCAAATATTTACGTTTTGTATTTTTTTTCACCGCGAAAACTAAAATATACAATCCACGGTTTGTATAGTCCATTATATTCACACGACATTATACGTCCTTCTATTTTATACCAGTAAAACGCTAGCACCCATACAAATAATACTACACTTAAGATACATTTCCAGCTCTTTACGCTTTTGTGTGTTATTTGTTTTACTATTTACAACAAGCAACCTAGTTAAGTCCAAATACCCTTATGGTGCCTCCGGTATCGGACGCATTATACTATAAAGTCCGGTTGGGGAGCCGGGCGTTTTCCCGAAAGGACACTTGCCCGAATGCGATAAACGACTTCGGGCAAGACTCACTTCGGGCAAGTGTCGTTCGGGAAAACGTCCGACTCCTCAACCGGACTTTATAGTATAATGTCGCATTCGAGCAAGCTTCCATTCGGGAAATCGGCCTTCGCGGGAATTTGTCGTAGACCCGTTCGGTTGCTATTAGGGTGCTAGAATCACTATAGCAGTCAACGAACAGGGATAATACAATTTTATCGATTTCGCATTAATCTGACTAGGGGATTTTGGAGATGTTATAACTGGGTTATTTACTCATCTTTTTTTTTTTTACATTTTTTGTTTTATTGTAATACTTAACTAAGCTGGAGGAAATCCCCTTCAATAATAAAATTCAGAACAAAGATGAATAAAACCCGCCCTGATAATTCAGGTAAGAATGTATATATTTATAGTTTAGAGGTCCCACCACTTATTATAGAAAGCGGGTTAAATTACATTTGCGGGGTTGTGGGCGGGGGTTAAAGCTGAGTAATTTATTGGCGGGTCGCTTTAGCTAACTTAGGTTGAATGGATATTACCATGTATTGAGATTATGCCATTTAAAGTTTCTAAGTACATTCAACGTTTGTGTTATCACACCCCCAAGTCGACCAAGCTTATCCACTAACCGGATATAACTATTCGGCTAGCGACAGGTCTAGGGTTAGGGTTAGGGTTAGTAAAATTTTTATTTTGTTTGTGTGTTTGGGTGGTTGTTGTGGGGTGGGGGAAACCACTGTTATGGGCAGGGTAAAATCTGTTTGGCTTGAGTACAAAATTTTACGGTCATATGCAGCAGATTGTTGTACCCGAGTATGTATTTGTTTGAACAAGATTACCTCCGGTCTAACTTTTCTAATCTCTTTTGTCCTATGGTGCATGTCTAATTAAGTAATCTATTTAAATACGTGTGTATATAGTTTATCCACCACACCACTAAAGTAGTTATAGATGTGTGTTTTTTGATTGATGCCATGCAATCTAGAGATATTGGGACACTTGCCCGAATGCGACAAACGCCCGAATGGACACTTGCCCGAATGCGACAAATGCCCGAATGGACACTTGCCCGAATGCGACAAATGCCCGAATGGACACTTGCCCGAATGGGACAAATGCCCGAATGGACACTTGCCCGTATGCCGTTTGCCCGAAGGCCGATTTGCCCGAATGCGACAAATGCCCGAATGGACACTTGCCCGAATGCGACAAATGCCCGAATGGACACTTGCCCGAATGGGACAAATGCCCGAATGGACACTTGCCCGAATGCGACAAAATAATAAAGAAAGCAAAACTCATTTTAAAATCCGGAGATGAATGAAAATTGTACTTTTGTCTAATTTCATATGGAAGAGAAAGTATTTTTCTACACTTTTTAAATATCAAATACAAATTAATTGAAAATGCCTGCGTGGTAATATATAATATTATTTTTTTCACTTTCTTTTTGCGTAGATGTGTTTTGTTTACCAACATTTTAAATTTAAATTGATTACGAATGATTATTTAGTAATATATAATGTTAACATTTTTCGGGCAAACGGCCTTCGGGCAAGTGGCATTCGGGCATTTGTCGCATTCGGGCAAGTGTCCATTCGAGCATTTGTCCCATTCGGGCAAGTGTCCATTCGGGCATTTGTCTCATCCGGGCAAGTGTCCATTCGGGCATTTGTCGCATTCGGGCAAGTGTCCATTCGGGCGTTTGTCGCATTCGGGCAAGTTTCCATTCGGGAAATCGGCCTTCGGGCAAACGGCAATCGGGCAAGTGTCTTTCGGGAAAACGTCCGGCTCCCCACTTTGTTGTGGGGGTCACACCACTGTGATGTAAGGGTCACACCCACTACGATTTAGGGATCACACAACTCTCTTGTGAGGGTCACATACACTGTGTAATGAGAATCTTACACGTTTCTTAAGAAGATCACATCTCTGTGTT